ATTATGGGTAAAATTTTGAAAAATTGAAAGTGAGGTAGAGGCCTCATCCTCAAACATAGGCACCCCATGCCATGCACGGGGCAGCATGTGTCCCTCCCCCCCCAAGATTGGCTGCTGCCAGCTTCTGTGGGCAGTTGCTGCTCATCACCTGCCCCACCCCCCCTCGCCACCACTGCTGACATCTGTGGGCATTCCCAACTCGCTGCTCACCACACCCCCCTCCCCGCCCCGCTGACACCGCTGCTGGTGTCTGCGGGCAGTCGCCACTGATGCTGCTGCCTGCAAATGGTGTCCTCCCACCCCCAGTCTCGGGAGGCACCAGTCATTCTTGTCCTTAAAAGTATATAAACAGTTAGCTCCCAGTATGAGCAACTTTCGGTTCTTTTCTGGTCATCTCAGTGTACATGTTTGGTTGCCTATATGGTAGTCTAAGTGTCCAAAATGCCCCTTATGCTCAGGTTGGTATTCTCTTTTAGGTATGCAGCCCTGTGTATGTGGATAACTACATACATTCCCCTACTGGGCAGATGCACTGTCAATAGGGTGAGAGAGACAGACCTCTTTATCTTTTCATTGAAATAGCTCTGTGGCCAGGGCACTTGCCTGGAAAGCTGGAGGACCTGTGTTCCAGGCCTCACCAAGTTGGGGCTTGCTCATACATATCTTCTACTTCTCAAGATGGCACTCCAGCCACCACACCACACCACAGGGTAGCCGTTATCCAGACCTTTCTCCACCACTTTTTTAGATGTTGGGCCCCCAGGCATGAGATGTGAAGTCAGGAGGAAGGGAGCAAGTGAGAGCATATGTGACTCAGTGCAGTGGCTGCTGGTCTGCAAGGGAGAGGTCCCACACATCCATTTTTTCCAGTGGTTATATTAGTAGCTGTCTTCAAAAAGACACACAAAAAAGGAGGTGATGGCTGACCTGTGGCAGTGAGAGTAAAGTACTGAACTGGGAAGTCAGAGACACCCAAACCTGCACCAGGCAAGGGACCTATAACCCAGGACCTCCAGCTGTGAGTGCCCTAGTCACTGAGCTGTGGGGAGCAGGGGAAGGGTGGGGGCAAAATAGATGAGCATGTTCAGGGCCCTTTTCTATTCCTGAGGTTCTAAGTCTGATAGTTGTGGATTTTGGCTGATTATGTTTCTGGGTGCCCAGGATTGCTCTGTGTCTGCAAGGGATATGCATATGTGCCCTGGCCGCTACTGCAGTGTTTCCCAACTTTTTCCAGCCCAAGGCAAACTTACATTAATAATATTTTTCCACAGCACACCTGTTAAGGCATTCCCCATCCGCATACCTATTGTAGCTCATTGCCATGGCAACATTCTGCAGCACACCTGTTGATTTTTGACGGCACACTTTTGTGCCACGGTGCACTGGTTAGGAAACACTGCACTACTACATATGCCCAGCTGTGCAGCTATGAAGTTGCACATGGTCAACTATGTGCACAGGGATAGAATGCCAGCCAATGCATAAGGTATTGATAGCATGCAGATGACCAAATCCGGATGCTTAGATTACCAGGAAGAGAAAATAATGTCACTGTGTTCAAGCATTACAGCTACTATAGGGGTCCAAAGTAGGGTGACCACCTTTTCAAAATGGAAAGGTGGAATACATGCCCACCTCCCCCCACCACCCTGGCACCACGGCCAGAGCAGAGCAAATGGATCCCGTGGGGGGCAGGGGAGGATACAGGCTTTCCACTGCAGGCTTGGGGCTCCCCACACCGCTGCTGTCCGCCCAGGAGCCCTGAACTGGCCATGCCACCATGGGGAAAGGAATCACCCCCCTGCCCACCTGGCAACTGCAAGGGGCAAAACTCTGCACCACCACCGCTGCTACTGGGCAAACAGGGGGTGCCTTGCCATGGGAGTGCAGCTGGTGCACGGCCCCTGGGGGCAGTGGCAGCAGCACCAAGTCTCTCCGCTCTCCCACACTGGGTCCTGTGTGCTGGGCCATGGAGGCAATAGGAAGAGGACCGCAAGGTAGGGAGCCCTAAGTCCGGCAGCGGGTTGCCTACATGCACCTCCACCCAGTGCACAAATCTGGGAAGGGGCACATGCCTCCCCGTGTCCCCCTCCCCAGGAGTGTGCACAGCAGTGGGCAGCCAGTCCCCCTGCTGCCCCCTGGATGAGTTGCTCTCCACTGCTGCCTGGCTGTATTCCTGACCATGTGCAGGAGTTCACTCACACACATGCACGTAGTGCCCCCTGCATCCTGGTCCCCGCAAACCCCAAGTAACAGAGTTACAGCCTGCAAGGGGAAACCTGCTATTTCCCATGTTTTTCCACAGAAAACAAAAAACCCAGATCTCTTCATATGATACTGTAAATCTGGGAGAAATGCTGTCCTGGAGTCATGTAGCCAAGGACTGGAACTTGAAGTTCACATTTCAGGACTGTCCCACCCAATTAAGAATGGCTGGTCATTCTAGCCCAAAGTGATATCACTAGCAGAAATGATCAATTACAGAGTCATCTTTTAATGAAGGTTGTTATCATTTCAAGGGAAGTTACCTTTGGGGATCTTGGCTGAGGATTCCAATCCCATTTCAAATTGATGAGATATAGACTAGATACTCTTCAAAAGTTTTACCCATTATCCTGAGCTTTAAGGACAGCAGGCCCCATGGAGGCTTAGCATCTCTGATAATTAGGCCTCCCATTTAAGTACTTTGTTGCTCAGCCAAGTTTAACCCATTCACAGCTACTGCTGAATTTGCAAAAGCTGCTGCCAATTTGGCAGTAGCTACAGCAAGGGTTAAACTTCCAGTTTTTGGCTGAGCAGCTGGGTGCATTAGTGATGCTGGTAAATGCACTCTGTCCTTGTTCCATGCAGATGGTATTCAGCCCTGACTGTGGAAAAATATTTTTTTCTTCATTCTATGTTCCCCAAACAAGCTATGTGTCTTATTTGGGCATGTATGGTATGCAAGAAAATATGGTATAATTTTCCTGGTAAGTAGTATTTTATTGCCTTTCAGTTACCTACACCATGCAGGCCAGTGTATTCTCTCTGATGAAGAATTAAAGAACAAAATGCTCATAGCTTTTTAGAGTGATAATGTACTAAAATGTACTCTATGTACTCTAATGTACTCTAAAATACAGGTCATGAACCCTATTCAACATTTTGGGACATAAAGTGCAGAACACTACTATATCTAATAGAGAATGCAAAGAGACTGTAGACAGACTGAAATGTATTAGATTGAAATTTGTTTAAAAAGCATAGGAGTGACCTCAGCAGCCCTCCTCGTACAAAGTGCTCTAGGATCTCCAAGTACCATGAGCAGTCACTGTTATGTACTGAAGAACCATGATGTATGCCCATCAAACTAACTAAAGAAAAGTTTATTTTATTAAATAGAGTGACAGTCTTGAGAATGGAACAGCAGTTTTACCCACTTTAGAAACCATCACACTTCTCACTCTCAGGCTATCTTCCTGCTAAGCTGTTCCCATGCTAATTGAACTCAGAGGGCAGAATATATTATGTTGGTTGCAACAATATGTAACCTTTTGCTTTTTCTAAATGATTCTAGTTCATGAAATGCAATAACTTGTGGACTTAGATCTTATAGTTGCAGTACCCCAGATGCGTGTGCATGTGTGTGCGTATGTGTGCATGTGCATGTGAGAGAGAGAATACATTTCCTGTTGTTGTTGGCGGGAGAAAAGATAAAAACCTAGGGCTATGTACAGAGGTACCCTATACACATTTTACAATGCTGTAATTTAGATTTGATAGTACTATAGTTACAGTGCTCTGAAGCATAACAGAAGTGCAGTGTTTGGTGGGGGGAAGGGGCCTCTGAACCTCCCTGTACTTTCCAGGCTAGGAGGCAGGGGGCACTCCATAGCCTCCCAGGGCTTCTCCACTGGTCAAGAATTTGACCAGTATACAGAAGTTATTTAAAGCACTGTAGGTTGCTAAAGTGCTGTAAAATACAGTGCTTCAAATTGAATACCTCATTTAACAAGAGCTAATTTAAAGCACTATACCCATTTTTAAAGTGCTGTAAAGCCATGCACTTCTGTTAAGTCACAGCAATAAAGCACTTTAAATGGCAAAAAAGCAACTTTTGTACACACCCTAGCACTCTTTAGCCCAAGTGGAAAGGGCATGTTAGTGGGGGTTCAGAGCCCTGGATTCAAGACAAGCTGATGCATGATGTTTGTGTTTGATCACAGCTTATCACATAAATGGGGACACCTGTAGAGGTCAGGTTCTGTACTCAAGTTCGTTTCAGAAACAGGTATTCTGCTGTAATTCATGCATCCCTCTAGTGGCTACGTCTGCATCAAGCCCAGCTAGGCCCCACATGGAGGCCCTTGTCAGGACCTTTCATGAAGATGGATTGGGCCCTGGCTCAGTCCAGCTGCATAGAACAGGGCTTGAACTCTTTGGTTGAGGCCAGCCTGGCCAGGGCTGATCTAGCTATATGGGGCTTCAAATTTGGTGGCGGGGCAGGAGTGGCAGTGTTAATTGCTACCATTTCCCCTCTGGAACTGAGGGGAGACCTGTGGGCTGGATTATGTTGCCCCACAGGTCAGATCTGGCTGGTGGGCCAGAGGTTGAGCACCCTGGTCTATATGTATTCAGCATTGTGTGTTGCATATACCATGTGAGAGAATTAGATCGCTAGTTACTGGATTAAAGTGCAACACTACATTAACAGTTTGATTTGGATTTCTAATCTGAGAGACAGCGTGTTAGCATCACTTGGCCTCATTCAGTAGCATTAATTCAGTACTGAGTTGAAGGAAAGAGAATTGCGTATTAAATCACACCAGAAGTACTTGTGGTAGCACTTGTATTTTTCTTGGAAATATCACATCTAAATACCAACCATGCCCAAACCTCTTTAGCTTGTGAGCTCAGACAAAACCACTGCTCAAGATGGCAGGGAGGAGGGATGGGAATGTTTATCATTTCACAAATGAAGGTCATGGTCAAGTAAAATTTTCTACTATATTTTTCAACAGAAAAATTTCCAGGCTGCAGTTCAATAAGGTGAAACTGGAAGATGCTGGAGAATATAGCTGTGAAGCGGAGAATGTGCTAGGGAAAGACACAGCAAAAGGCAGCCTTAATGTGAGAAGTGGTAAGTTGAGAAACCAGAGACTGTCTTGAGGCAGCTTCACCTTTCCTACAGTCAAGCAGCATGTTTTGTACATGATCTGTCTTGTATATTGTTTAATGCTTTCAGGATATCAAGTAAAACAATCTTGGGAGATAAACAAAAATGCAGCTTAGCATAAATGTTTATCTTTATTATCTGCCACTGGCAAAGTGGTTGATTTACATTTTAAATAAACTAGAAAAAAATAGAAAGAAGTGGTGGTGGAACTGGAGAGGATAAACTTTATATTTTGGACAACAATTTCTGAGAAGTAAAACTCACCAGAAAAAGAAGATGAATAGTGAAACCATAACTGCCAGGAGTGAAGTTCCAGTCAACTTTCATTGTATGACATGCTCCAGCACTTTGAAAGTAAAATGTGTTGAAGTTGTTTTACCCCCTTTGTTTCAAGTACTACCTCCAATATTAAGCACAAACTTTATAATGTTTGCAGAGTAAGATCTTTGCTTTGTAACCTGGGGTAGGTCACTTAGGGTGCAGCCTATTTTACTTTATGTGCCCGAGTGTCATTTATCCAGTTAGTGATCCTATTCCATGTGCTACGTGGACATAAAAGTATCCACGTGTAGCTGAGCAGGCATGGTATCTGCCTGGCCAGAGGGCAGGCTGTATGACTCCGCAGACAGGTACCTGGGTAAGTGCAAGTCCCAATATTGTAGCCAGATAAAAGTCCATCACTGTTGCAGGAGGGTCCTCTGTTACTTTAGCCTAATAGCTGAGGAGCTGACGTACTGCAAAGCAGGATACCCATGAAATGAAACAGAACTCTGCCCTTAATGACTCTGTATATCTCAATAGCCCCCAACAATGGTGTTTGCCCATATCTGTGAAGATCCCCAGATGCCTGCTGCTATCCATGCACCAAGGAGTCTGTCTAGGAAGAGAATTCAGTGGCTCTGCTAAATTTTTTTCCCCAGTTATTTTAGGAAAACATCCAGAGTTCATTAACTAGGGGAGAGCTACTTGAACTCCTGCCTAAAATGCAAGCTGTTGCTTATAACAGAAAAATATACATGTGCCAATAGGGATATATAGCAAAACAGTCATGACACATATGGACTCCACTGAGGCAGCTCTGTTTGAAAAGGCAGCTCTTCATACTGTAGACATTTATTATCTGCCAGTCATTGACAGTAGACCCCTCAGGACAGGGAGGGAGCCTGTCTGTAGGACTGTACAGAACCTGGCACATTAGGGCCTTGATCTTAACTAGAGGTTGGAGGTTCCAGTGGCATAAATCATAACTGTAGCTATGTAATGTTGTTGTTCCCCGTAAAGTCAAAGAGTACTTGTCTTAGGTAGGGTGTATTTATATTTTTCATCAAATGAAGGGTATGCTGTAATGTGAGGGTTGTGTCTTCATGCAAAGGTTTACATTTCATGTCTTGCTCAGTTTGAAGGTTACATCTTAAATGTCCATAATCACAGAAAGAATTTGCAAGGGCCAAAACAGCTGCTGAAAACTAGAAAGAACAAATGCAGATTTCTGGTTTCTCAGCCTAATTCTTTGGGCTGTGTCCCTTACTAGGTAGTTGTAGATTCCATAGTGATGCGAACACTGGGAACACAGAAAGACTGGATGGTGCACTTGGTTGCAGCCATATGTATGGAGGGGTTTTGAATTCATTACAAAAGTTGCCTCACAAGCACCCCTAAGGGTTGTGACATTCAGCTGCTCTGATGTCTTTGCACTTGCTATATGCAGGTCATCAGCCCCAATGCAGAATAGTGGTACTTGGTACAGGGAGTAGAGCTGGGTAAACATAAGGTGATAGTGATAGCTACTGTATATACAGTGGGTATGCCGCCTGTTCGCTGACAATTCTGCTTCCCTCTTAAATACTTTCATTGGCTCCCTAAGCCTCTGCACCAACCTGAAGCTTCTTGTTCTCATACATTGCCTTCATCTGTGCTCTAATCTCTTCTTTTTCCCTGGGAGCCTTCCTTCTGAGCACCTGGCCGATGGGCCTCTCCTGTTCATTGCAGGTTGCTCTCTTCTTCTATGCTATCTCTACAGCTGGAACTTCCTGCCCCCTCTTTCTTTAGATCCTTCTTTAAGGCCCATTACTTATTTGACTTCTTTCATTAATTAGCTTTCCATGGCATCTGCTTGTCTTTAACTCTGTACTAGGTTCTTCTGAATGTTGTTGTCTGTATCTGAAACAAACTATTTATCTCTATAAAACATTCTTCACACCCCATGGATAAAAAGCAAATAATGATAAAATGATGGGATGCAGAAATAGCAAAACAAGAAATACCACATATAAGTGAGATGATTGTATTGCCCAGCACCTTGATTGTACTGTGTAGACAGTTGGAGAAATGCAGGCACAGGATAATGCTAGGTTTTAGCATTAATTGCAGTCCTTTGAACAATAGATTTTGCCCAGTAAGGCAAAGAAGAAAAAGAACAACAACAAAAAAACAAAGCCTAGTTTGTGAAAGTAATTGCTAAAAAATACACATCTTCTACACTGAAAAGAAGAAGTCATAGCAGTCTAGATTAGATGGTAGGACTGATGCCAAGCAGACATGTGATTTAAATGGACTTCCTGACCCTTTCATTTGGCACCATTATACAAGTCAAAATGCCATGATTTATGATGCCACAACAAAGTGGGAATTTAGAATCAGGGAAAAGGATTGGATTAACTCAGTGCATTTTGATCTGCGGTTCAGTCCCTGCTGTTGATGACCTATTCAGAGGTACTGCATTATGAAGGGTATTTGGGGGATTGAGCTGGACAAGCTTCTGAAGCATGGAATGAGATTCCTGGGACAGTTATGTAGGCAGCTCAGTGCAATGATTTGTCCCTGTCGAGTGGGGCATGGGCCACAAGTGAAGATTGCTGAGACCTCCAGTATTTTAGGAACATAGGGATGGAAGGGACAATCAAGTCCAGTCCCTAGTCTTGCCTTCTGAAGAAGGGAGGCTTAAGGAGCAGAAACCCCTGCATTTATAGATGCCAAAGACCCAGGCTCCAGGCATTCCTGCCAATAATTCCTAGGAACCACAGCTTTTGTAAAGCAATTTTGAGTCTTCCTTACTTTGTCTTTTGTGTTTTATTTAATTAAAAAAAGATGCCTATTCAATGCTTGAGGATTGTTTTCAAGTAATTGAAAAAATAAACCCACAATAGGCCAAAGAAGTAGGTAAGCGGTGGCCACATGTAACACAAAAAATATCAGTTGGCAGATTTAAATACTCACTAGACCTTCACAGAACCAAAAATTTATATTCCCTAACTCCACCCTGCACATGTCAACTGTTGTTGACAGTGAAGAGGGGTTTATGACATGTTATTTCAGATCTAGAAACAGTGAACTCCAAAGGTTCTCATGTAGCACATTTTTGGTTGGCAGCTTTTTTTATAACCCAGGCTAGAGACAGAAGTTACACATAAACCGGCATAAGTGGCTGAAAACCAGCTCAGATCTGTAACATAACAGAAGTTCCGTGCACGTAAGCTGCCTTCAGAATGGCCGAAACCGGTTTAAGATTAACCTGGATGGATATAGTATCAGACTTAACTGATTTAGGTTATATTGGTTTACTGAACCTCCAGATTCAAGTTAACTCACACTCCCCAGCATCCCAGGATGCTTTGTACTTCCCCAGCAAACCCCGCCTTGCAAGGTGGGTGGGCTAGCCTTGATCCAAGCTGTCTGCTTCAGCCAAGCAGGGAGGCATGCTCTAGTATCCCCTGCCTTCTGGCCTGGGCAACTGCAGGCTGTTACCAAATTTGCCCATTACTTTGGGGTGTGCTCATTTATTAGGGATATGTTTCTAGGGTCTTGGTAATTCTATTAATGTGCTGCTTGTGTTACTTGGGTTTATATACGGAGCTGTATATGTCCCTTCTGCAAGCCCTCACCCCCAGTGGAGCTATCTTGCAGGACTCAGTTTCAGTGGGGCTGGGTTCTTCCTGGCTGGGTTGATCAGCATGTACAGGCTGACACCCTCATATGCCAAGAATCAGTTCATCAGAGGAACAATGAACTACAGTCAGACACAAGCACACAGTTAAACAGAATACCTCTGAATCCAGCTGGGTGTCCAGATGACACCCTCAGGGGCCAGCATTCAGTTCATTAGGGCACGTCTGAGCCAA